AAGCTTAACAAAAGAATCGTGATGAACTCGACCATAAATGAAAATCACATGGTCTTCATTAATTAATCATAGCTAAGGATCGAAAGCTCATGAGAAATTGAAATAAAGTTCTATCTATCTGAGATATATATATATATATATATAAGTCCAGGATAAGTTTCCAACTTATTCAAGATGATCTTCGTCCTCTCAGACTTAACTTTCTGCCCTGTAGTATCAAGTTGCCTCACACATTTCACGTACCATTTCATTTTCAAGACTTTTCCTACTGCTCTTTGGACTGTTATAGGTGAAACACTTCTCTCACGTGCCAAATGTCTGATGGAGTGAGTTGTTTCTTTTGTAATTGAAATTGAAACGATGATACTTCTTTCTGTTGTTACTTCCTGATCCTGTTTTCCTCTTGATTTCTCCCTCTTTTTTTAAACGTATTCACCGTTCTCTTGATGGCTCTTGAATGGACTTTGAAGATGGAAGCCAACGTATGAATGTTGGCACCATTACTGAAGACTTGAATGATCGTTTTCCTCTCGGTGAGGCTGACACAAAACAATTTTAACCTGTTCTCTTTCTAGCTGAATAACTCAAAGGGTTTTTCAGTGATTCTTAGATGGAAAAAAGAAACTCAGTTTAGAGTTATTTTTTTTTTGTTGTTGTTTTTAAACACTAAACATTTTGTGGGGTGGACAATTATGCTGTTACACTCGGTATATATATATATATATATATATATATATATATATATAATACTGAATGATTGGCCATAGAAGCTGTCCGGTTTAGAGAATCATATTCGTTTAACGTACAAATAAATATTACAACAATGTCTTCTGATAGGCATACTCAACAATTTGGCAGCCATATTGTACGAAGGTAAATCAGAAATTATCCACACTTTCGCCATAGCATGTTAATGTTTGTCACATTTCCGTCTGCTCATGAGTGCTTATAGTTGGTACTATTGTGATCACCTGATCCAAGTTTGATGGCGTCAGTTTTCTTGCTGCTTTTACAATGTAAACATGCTCGCTACGTTAGCAGTGGGGAACAAGGAGCAGAGATCCGATTTTCTGATCGGAATGTGTGTCAGCGGCTGAAATTCATCGGAGACTTTTAAGAAATGGTAATAGCGAACAGGTGAGTTATCCCCGACGACGTAGCATGTTCTCTGCAGATTCGGGCCGCTGCTCTCTGTTCCTCTTTGGTGTATACTGCTAGCGGAGCGGTCATGTTTACACTGTAACAGCAGCAAGAAAACTGGCGCGATGAAGCTCAAAATCACGTGATCAAAATAATACTATAATCCAGGATAAGCAGAAGGCAGTATGACAAACCTTGACATGTTATGATGAATGTGCGGTTAATTTTTACTTAGCCTATGATATATATGTGTGTGTGTGTGTGTGTGTGTGTGTGTGCTTCTATGTGTAAAGTATATTTTGTATTGTGTGGTGTAAAATAAGTTTTAGCGAATACATCGATGTAAGACAATTTACATTTTTGGGTCCTCTCACTGGAGTTCAATTCCCGGTTAAGGCAGTGGATAACTTGGAGAGGAGAATTAACAGGAGATAACTGACATCAGTTATCTCCTGTTAATTCTCCTCGCCAAGTTCTCCACTTGAGAGGACCCAAAAATGTAAACTGTCCTACATTGATGTATTCGCTAAAACTTATTTTACACCACACAATACATAATATATTTTACACATAGAAACACACACGCACGCACACACACACACACACACACACGCACGCGCGCGCATATTAAACATGACACGTTGAACTAGAACAGGCTAACCTAGTGAGCGAAATAAAGGGTTCAGTTCGACATTTCAACCACCTGAAGCAGGGCGGAGCGTACAACGGCCGAAACGTTGTGATAAATATGGCGACAAAGATGAGGACAATAATCCGAATAATGTAAATAGTGTACATAATAGCTAATCTCAAAAATATAGACAGATAATGTAGGACAATTTTTGCTAAAATATTCAACATAAAATAATAACAAAAATCATTAGCTCTTCTTCCCAACGAAATTTAAAGAAAACATTTTACTTCACCATTTATCTACTTACTGACTTTATTTAACCAAATTTTTTTGCAACACGTGTTATTGTGTTGAAAATCCTCTCAGTATTTAGTATTGTTGAAGTTATCGTTTTTGTCGAGATTTATAAACTGTACGTTTCGTTCAATTTCTTAAACTAATCGATCAAATTTGAATTTTGATTTTCTTGGAGAAATACTTTAACAAAAAACCCGACTTCGCGGTTTAATAATTTCTTAAATTTAATTTAATAGGACGTCATGTTGAACAATACTTTTAAGAAAATGTATTTTTTTACTTTTCAACAGTGAAGAATAAATTAAGATTTCTTACTCTTGAGCATGCAGCATACGACTGGACATGCGTAAATATTTCTTTCTGGAGCCAATTTCCTACTTTTTGAAGCATTCGGCTTTATGATTTGTTTATAGTTCTCGCAAACGCAAGGCAAATTCGAAACTGGATTCTTATATATATATATATATATATATATATATATATATATATATATATATATATAAACTTAAAGAAAAGATAGACAAAAACAATATTGCCTTTTTATCAAATAAATATTTATTTTAATCATTAAATTATTTTTACAATTGTGGGAGTATTTTGCATGTTAAATAATAAACTTTTAATGTTTAAAAAATGAGTGAAAATTTATTGTACTAAGCTACGCAACCTACTAAAACCTATTGTACTTTGTACCCCTTACCTCACCAAATCTTGGTTTCGATCGGTCAATGTATAGCTATTTCAGAGGGTGGACTAACGGAATTCACAGAATTTAATGTATAGATAGATCGAAGATAAAAAAAAAAAGAAGCCGTCAACATTTTCAAAAAACAAGAAAGAAAAAGTAGCAAGCCTTTGATTGTAGTTTCTTCGAAGTCTTCCGCAAGCACATGCTCTTTTTAAATTTATATATTTGCTCCGATAATACATGTAAAAAAAATAATAAAGGACATGGTTACGTAATTTTCCAAATAACTAGGTGATATTTTCCCCATAAATGTTCGGATTTGTGTCTATTCTATTAGAATTATTGTCGCATATATAATGACTCATGATGTTATATCAGCATCATCAGTTAAAATGCCTAGACAAAAAAAAAAAACAAAAAAACAAACGCAGTGTATTAGTATCTACATTTCCTCTAGTTAGTAAAGAGACCATGTTCGCTTATTGATATCGGGTAGCGCATCTGGTTGTCATAACAATGGAATATCACATTAAGAAGAAAGAGAGAACAGGCTGCATGACCGATAAATATTTATAAAACGTATTTTATTTTATATTCTGGAATAGATATTTCAAGCTATTAATTTTTGAGGGTCAGTATATGAAAGAAGGTAATTTTACATAAAGTTTCCATACCTATAAAATATATTTAAATACTTAAATATGCGCATATTGTTTAAATACCGCTGGCTTTTAGTTTGGGAGAGGGGGTGTCTAGCGTATGTTTTAAAAACTTTATGTCGCTTATTTTCAAAATTAGATATGGTGTTAGTTTACCTCCGGAAAAATGAGGGGGGTCGCTGAAGGGAGAATATAAAGAGGAGAAGCAATCAACTTCCTCTCTCTCTCATTTTCTTCTCTCCTGTTTCTCATTGCGAGGCTCTTCCCTTTTTTTTTATCGGTTCTGTAGAACAAGCAGACGTCACGTCGGCGTCCCCAGAATGGTAATTCCATGGCAATTGTTCTGTGGTAACTTCACTTACGAATTTCAGCACAGTACCAGATAAGCGGACAGGTCTCATAATTTGATATAGCTGAAATGGGTAGGCGGATCTCTAAGTTCAATGTTAAGTTTCTTTTCTCACATTTTTCGCTTGTGGGACTTTCTTCCCGCCTCTTGCTTTCTAGTCAACTTTGATCTTCAAATATTTAAATGCAATGTCAATTATAGTTTGCCTTAATTCCTGTTATTTCATTGTTCTCTCTTCTTAATATATTTTTTCTTTTTCTCTTGTCCTTTCACGCTCAGGAAGCCATTGCATCATAGTGGCTTTGTTGTCTTACTATGGGTGAAATCATTAAAAATATGCAGTTTCCACAGACAGAACACATTTAATTGTCCTGAATAAATTATTGTACAACTAGCTGAATTACCTGCACCTTGCTGCGTGTAACACATTTTTTGTAAGAAAATGATAATTGATTTTAAATCATTGTTATAATTTGTGGAGAAAAATGATGCATTTCATTATTACTCAATGATCTTGCTGATGTGACCTCCATCTTCTGACTTTCTCCTATGTTTTAGATAGGAGTCATTCATTTGTTTCCAATTTAAATTCAATATAAATCAAAGGGAAATAGAAATTCAGTGGAGGGGTTTCTGCAAAAACAGCTTCATTTGATCCCTTTGATATGTATTTGATAAAATACTTGATTTAGCGAATTGATGAGCAGATTTCAACATTGGTAGGAATGTTCAATTGTCGCAACAAATATGTATTGTAAGGCACTACCTACTGATTGATTTCGTGCTCAACTTGACTCAAATTGGCTTATATTGATTTTGCCGATGTGACCTCCATCTTCTGGCTTTCACCTTCTATATTTTGGAAATTCAAAAAATTTTAATTTTCAGTGGTGGTCGGGGGGTGCTTCTTCTCACCACCACCCCCGCGCCCTTGAACCCGTTTGATCAGAATGAAATATGTTTATCCACCAAGGAGTCATATCCTTTTTCAAATGTAAATTTAATTTATATCAAAGGGAAACATTTTCAGTGGATGGTTGTGCCCACCCCCTCTGCCCGGGATAATGTAGTTTCAGAATATCTCTTTATGTAGGTCTATCTCCAAAACCCTAGGAGGAGTTCGATCACAGACAGACAGAGACTACAACTTATATATATGGTTCATGTACTTTTATTTTTTTCACACACAAAGGGAATGGTTCAGTTTTATTAATTCGTTTTATCCCTGTTCATATGACCCTTCTCTCTCTACATCTCTCTATCTCCATCTATCTATCTCTCTATCTCTCCATCTCCATCCATCCATCCATCTCCATCTATCCATCTATCTCCATCCATCCATCTATCCATCTATCTCCATCCATCTATCCATCTATCTCCATCCATCCATCTATCCATCTATCTCCATCCATCCATCTATCCATCTATCTCCATCCATCCATCTATCCATCTATCTCCATCCATCCATCTATCCATCTATCTCCATCCATCCATCTATCCATCTATCTCCATCCATCCATCCATCATCCATCCATCCATCTATCTCCATCCATCCATCCATCCATCCATCTCCATCCATCCATCCATCTCTCTCCATCTATCTATCTATCTCTCTCCATCTATCTATCTCTTCCAACGTGCTTTCCCAGATCCTACAATTTTAGTGTCAGTGAAATACGGAATCATCAGTTCTGACCACCTGCACTTAGGTCAATGTAGTTAGGAAGTAACCTCTTAAAACTGAGATTGTAGCTAATAACAAACCGGAAAAAGGATATAACCAAAAAGTAAGTTTTCATGCCAAATGTTCCTGTTATTTCTCGCTACATATATAGGGACACTAATTTCCCTGTATTCATACTTATTCCCTAATGAGCTCGATACTTTCTGTTCGTTCTTGGATTTACATTTCTTCTGGTGTTTCTTTAACACTCTTCGAAATTGTCACATTCATATGACACCGTTTTGTTATTCAAAATGGCAAAATGTAAATATTGTTCTTTTTTTTGTTTGTTTATTCTGTCGCCTGCTGAAGTAGCAACTTCCATTAGCGGCATATATTATACCGGAGAGAGACAGATTTGATGACTAATCTTATACTTTATGTTCCGTGCCCCCTCAAGACATATGCGATCATGGCTCTCCACAACTTCCTGCTCTTTGTAGCTATTAATATATGTTGTATTTCTGTTATTTCTCCTAAACACTGTCCAGTCATCAATTTACCCATGCTCATTATGTTTTGGCTTGTTTTACGCTTTCTCGCTTGCCTTCAATGTCGCGTGAATTTGTGACCACATGTTGCGAAGTTTTAAGATTGTTGACGTTTTTTTGTGAGCATTTAAGAAAGATTGCACTCAACTGATTAGAAACGATGGGCCCTTAATGTTTCTTGTGTTATATTAGATAACTAGCAGCATGGTCCGGCGTTGCCCGTGCTTGATTCATAAATCGTACGACTCATACAGCAATCGCTATCACTTGACTTAAAATATTTTTGCCCTTCCTTGCCTTTAAAGGAGTGCCCTTTGCCGTGCTGATGTTGCTACATGCCTTACTTCTTGCCTATCACACACTCCGAATTTTTTCTAATCTTTATACTAAACATTAAATCTGTTACAAAAAAAGAACTAAACAAAATGAACACAAAACGATCAGCTTTAAAAAAGGACTCGTAACTGGAAAAACCGAATGAAAAAAGAATGTTAACAACAAATACTTTTTCACACCTAACCCAGTTCTGCGGAATCAGAATCAACGTTGAGTTTAAGCAAGGGAATGAGCCAATTGTAGTAAAGTGCCATACAGATTTAAATTTTTCCCACTTGTGACGAATGTAGCTATCGATATTTTTTGCATGCTAGTTAACATTCGAGTCAGTTAACTGTTGGCTCTCACACTGGCCAATAGAATATTCCTGCCTGTTCGTGGCAGCCAGCTATAGGCTCTCACTCTGGCCAGTACAAAATGGCTGCAAACTACATGAAAACTGCCGTAGAGGCATGAAAAAATCGATTATTTCCACTATCAATGGACGTTGGGAAATGCAAAGTCGGTCTTGGCCTTTTCGATAACTTGGAGCATGTGCATGTAAATTTTGGTGCAAATCCGTCGAAAATTGCGGCCGTGCATTCGTTACACACACACACACACACACACACACATCCTGCCTTTTATAGATAGAGATTATACAATCTTTTCCTTCTACTTTCGTCGTCATTTTATTGCGAGTCCCTACTATCATTTTCTTCACATCCAGCTAAACTCTTTCCTACCAATCTTCCGTGTCCGTACGATTATTGGAATGATTCAGTTTTAAACCAGATGGCATATGGATGCAACAACCATTTTCCCACGCACCAAGTGTCGTCAACCTATCACTACTTGGTATTTCCATAGAAAATGTTCTGGTGAGCTTCATTACAACCAGTTCAAATCATTTCAAGTAAGACCCGCTATGCCATGTACACTGGCTCAACACATCCTCCTTCTCTTTCTATCCCATTGTGTAGAATGAAGTTCTACTCAGACATTTCCTACCGAGAACTATTACTTTATTGAACAAATTCCCAAGATGATACTCCCAGCCGATCCCTACCATTCTCTAAGGATAACCGTTATCTATCTGCTGTTTCTACCTACAGATAAAGTGGCATTAATTTTTTTCAGTGTATATATATATATATATATATATATATATATATATATATATATATATATATATATATATATATATATACTGATTTCACTAATGTTTTCGATGTTCTCAGTTCGTCTTCGGACTTGTCATATTCATGTGGCAAAGTTTTATTAGTTCCTTGTCAACGTTCATATATAACTTTATTTTTTTTTATTTTACTTTTAGCTTTAATTTATGGTATGATGGAGCAACGAACTTCATGAATGACAAATCTTTGATTTTATCAATAGATCTAGTTTCAGGACCTGTCTAGAATGACTGTTATATATATGTGTGTAAAACTTTAATTCTCTATGACAGAATTAAATAAACTTTTGGTTCTCATGGGCAAATACCATCTGTTTGCATAATTCTCAGTGGATCACCTGTCATATATTTTTTAACCATAACTTTCTGCATAGATTTTTTTTTAATATTCAATGGACAGTTTTATCTCTGTCCACATGGCACTTATTATTTAGCTGTTTTTGTTTTGTTTTTTTCTGTATTAAACTTAACATTTTGTTATACAATTTTTCTGTGTCGCGGTTCATACGAACTCCGTTTCTCTTTTTAAGTGTCCTCTTGACTACTACCTCTGTTAGCTCGTCCTCAATTGCTTTTAAGTATATTTTACACTATCAATGGATTTTTCTAACGAATCCTCGATTAATAAGGTTGGTATAGTTCTCAAGATATCTGAGTCAACACAATTTGTTTTACTCGCTAAACATATTTCCTCCTTTGCTTCTCATAAAACTTATCAATGTTATCTCTTAAGTAAAGCAATTTAAGCATGATGAAACATTTCGTTTTTTGATGCTGTTTTATGTTATGTCCAGTTAAGGAAGGGCACTGAATACCTACGCCCAACTAACAAAATGACGTTGATACAGCGTTTCTGCAACGTTACATAGATATTATGAAAAGGGTTTACTTAGACGCCTCACAGTCTGTCAACTACCCTTGTCTTGTAGCATTAACAGAAAATGTATAATAAATTTCAGGAATATATTAGAACATTCAGCATATTAAATTATGGATTTTTAATTGAACTAATTAAAAAAAAATGTTATATTTTCTATATATTTTAAGTGAAGAAAAAAGCAATGTGATGGGATTTACTAAGCGTAACTTAGATGTGGCACAAAGACGAAAGTAGAGAGCACCCAGTGAGGATCGAACTCACTACTCAGTCGTAACAAAACTAGCAAGACAAGTTTAAAAAAAAAAACAAACAAAAAAACATGACACCATGTCAAAAGTGTTCAGTAATTTACTAAACGTAGCTTAGGTATGGCACAAATGCCAAAATTTAGTGGCACACGGGGAGGGACGAACTCACTACTGAATCATAAATGATCTAGCTTACCCACCATTACCCCACATCGAAGTTCCCAGTGATTTACTAGAAGCTTAGTTGTGGCACAAAGCCGAGATTATGCCGCACCCCGTGAGGATCGCGACTCGCTACTCAGTCGTAATTTTTCTAGCGAGAAATCCTACTCACCATTATACCATGTCGAGATGTCATTCCTCTTCAACAGGCCTATGGTCCGGTGTGGTTGTTGAGTGACTGACCGGTTCTCTCACATGTCTGTCGAATCCTGGCAAGATATTCATTCATGCCTTCGGTAAACCTGGCTGGTTCCATCCCTTCATGTCTGACTACAATTAATGAAGGTTCGCCTTGTTCATGGGCAGGTAGCCATAGATTCAATCGAGGAACTTTCCAACCGGACTTGTTTTATTTCGGCTTAATAAGACCTTCGCCAAGAATTCTTTGTCATCGTCGCATATGCTGTATAGATAGCTATAGTCGTAATTGATCTAGCGAAACAAGCTTGTTACGTGTTAGCTACAGGACTTCGCAACATTACCATAACGTTATGACAACATTAGGGTTGTGCGATCCCTTTGGTGTTAGGGACATACTTGATTGCAACGTCACATATCCTCCAACCAAAATACATCCTATCTGTAACGTTGAAAGTACCTTCCCTGTTAGCTGGATGGCTAAGTTCTATGTATTCATAACAATAGTAAGATTTCTGGTTTTGAATCACATTTCCAAAGCGATTTTTTGTTCTGTTTAATTGAACATATTTTTTATATACGTAGATATCTGTAATTTTCTTTTTCATTTGCTTTCATTGTTGGATGCTTGAATCCATTCTGTTGATTTTTGTTCTCCTTCAGTTCTGTGTATGACGATACACTACATCCGGCTGCAAGGCTTCTGATCAGGAGAGTAAATATTTTGAGGAGCGTGAAATCATCTCTTAATTGGTGTTGTTCCCAGGTTCAGGTATCACCTGTTATGGTCCCATCTATAGGCAAACAAAAAGAATATACTATGAAAGTATAAAAATACATTTTATAGTATAAATACCAGCAATACATTTTTATATTAAAAAAAAAAACTACAGTACATATTCATAGTAAAATGACCAATATATTTTTAAAGCAAAACGACCAATAATATATATATTAAGAAATACCAGCAATATATTTTATAATATAATTACCAAAAATACATCTTATAGAAAAAATACCAACAATACATTCTATCTGTAACTGAAGGCATACAATTGCCTTCAAGATATATTTAGTTGAAGCTATAAAATTTTGTTCAAAATATTTAGATTTCGGCATGAAATAGCATATAGATGTGTTAATATGCCGCTAAACAAAATCAACCAATATGAAAGAACTCTTTCATTAATCCATATAATATTCTAGGATTTCCAAAACAAATAAAACTGTATTACAAAATATAACTCCAAAAAAAACAACAACATAAAACACACATATCACTGCCTGTAGTAATTATGTTCGCACAAACATGTATATGAGCAAAATCTGGCTATCATCTACCATGTATTCAACTGTGAAAGCAGAACAACCTATATCATATTTTATTACCTCAAAGAACCCATGAAAATCAACTTTTGGCATTAAACGTTGATGCACCGTAAAAATGCTGTTTAACTCATCACCTCCAATTCACCAAATT